ACTCTACGGGCTCATTCGAGTGGCATCACCAACATCACCTGGCTCGGACATCTCATTCTCTCGCTGTGTGTTGAGAGGCAACTGATCATCCACGATGCTACCAACATCACCGATAACAAGGACCAGCTGGGCGGTGCCCTGAAGGTAAGTAACCGGGATGTGCCAGTTACTGGTAGCTGCGACTCGTTCATTGGTACTCGATTTGATACCCTCAAGCACTGCTGCTATCGACTGCTCTCTCTATGGACGGCAGGTGGTCTATGGAACTGATAATGGGACGATATCATGGTGTGCTTCTTCTTGTGGCTGTATGAAGGGTGAACGCAATTGTCAGGTACCGCATTGACTCGGGAAAACTAGAGAAGTCTCGACCAGCGTCTCAAGGAGGCGATCACGACGGGCTACTGACACGTCTTCCTGTCCCAAAGGGTATCTGCATGGTCAGCCTGCTGAACGGCACTACCCCGAGCGGCCTGCAAGTGTCGACTACACTCACGCTGAGTGCCTCTGGTGTGGTATCGCTCTTCGGCCTGTTACCTATGGAGAGGTTCGAGCCTCTGGTGTCTTGGAGATTTGCTTGGAAGTCGGCTGATAGCAAGGTCCCTATGATGGTCAGTGTAGAAGACAACGTAAGCTCTCCTGAGTGAATTGCCTTGGAAGTGTTAGTCCACACTCTCCAATCTGCAGGAGAGTCCAATGACAATCTCAGCATCAGCCGTTTCTGAGGAAAGTTCGACCGGTGCTGGGTGGGATGTTTTCATACAAGGAGGCGTCTCGGTCGGAGGGTGAGGGGCACGAGTCATCTGCGGAGAATTCTCGGTGGCGGACAGGAACAGCTCAAGAAGGTCGTCGACAGTGCAGCCAACAAGCGTAACGAAATGGGTTCTCTTTATGGCTACAGAATGTAGCGCTATAATGAAGTGGGACTTGACCGATATTGTTAAGGTAGCAAGTAGTCTTATATGGTCATCCAAGGGCCCCTTTCTCAGTGGACAGCTGAGTCGGCTGCTCGACAACCCATCGGCGAGTGTGACCATCGTCAGCCTCTTGGTCTCGATGCTCTCCAGCAGGTGAGCTTGCTGTCCTACTGCTAGCTTGACTGGTCATGTCAGAGCATTCTGCTAGAGTGGTACACGTTAGTGCCAGGCAGGGCCAAAGTAGATCGGCTCATGCTCCACCCTTCTCAAGGGATTCATATGGTGAGCGAACTCCCACTGAAGACAACATGAGCTCTTAGTTGTTGACTTTGAGTAACGGTGACCATATGGTGAGGTTGTGGAACTCATCAAGTGGTGACTGTATCGGCGCACTCCACCAAAGCGGTCCGTCCCAATGGTCTTTGCCGCCACAAGTTGTGCTAGAGATGGTGAGCTACTTCTTGCTGACCGTTGTGATACCCG